TAGCAGTATGGCACAGGGAAAAATGCAGGACCTCAATAAACCGCTCCAGGACTATTGAAGATTTTGTTGGTCAAGCTGACACCTTAAACTCCATCTGGAAACTAATGGACAGCCTGTGCAGATCCTGGCTTCCCAAGAGGAGCTCTGGTCACTCCATGCATCGCACGAAGGCAGAGAGAATTCAGATGAGATGTGCGCCTCACTGGGCCAGACATTATTGCATAAACTATAGTGAGAAACAGCTTTGGGATACAAAATTTACAACCCAAAACAGACAAGGCTGACAGAGGGGAGAAAAAGGAGATAGAGGTGAAGTAACTTGCTCTGAGTCGCATAGCAAGTCAGTGACAGAACCAGTATGAAACCCCAAGATCCCAGAGACAGTGTCCTACTAGGTTACTCTGCCTCCCAAGTAAGGGTGCTGATGGAGGCTGCCAGAAGTTACTCAAAGGTGAGTTAAATACTAACTACACAAGGGATAAGGTTTCACAATCTCCCAATAAATCCCTCATCATCTGACTTCTTCTGAGTGCAAACATGTCTCTTGATCTCATGACAAAGGCTACCGCGACACAGTACAACACAATGGCACATGCACTACTGTGTGATGCAGTCAGGCCGAGCATTTGATGCAATAATCCAGTAATAGTAGTGGGCCACGGGTGGCTACAGGCTACACACTGCTCCCAAATTCTCAAGCTTCACTTATAAAAAAAGGTATTCAAAAGCCCCAACTACAATTGGTTAAAAGCAATAAGCATGCAAATCATTTTAAAACAAACTTTAATTAATTTCAGCATATGTTTCACTTAGGTTGATTAGTCAAATCTGATTTTCTGAAAAGAAACAATAAACATCTGCTAATGATGATTTACATATTACTGCTCACATGTACTGCAGTGTGTTCGATGGCAAGGGAAGTTCCAGACAACACAGGAAACAGGTGTTTGGACGCGATATCTACCCCCCAGCCTAGTTTCATCAGGTACTGAAAGCAACACAAATAATAATAACAGAAAAGCAACACATGCTTTGCTAGACACTTTGCTAAACCGGCTAGACACGTAGTTAAAAAAATTGTATGACTGAATTGTCTTGTAAGAGCCGTGCAGTTAGTAATGGATAGCATCCAGCACTGCCGCATCTAAATGCTATGGCGATTACAGTCATGAGAAATCGAAGATTTACTACTACAAAAATCCTTTTGAACAGTTTCTATCATAACGTAGTTGAAAAATCACACAGATAGTGTAAGAGAGGAATGGCATGTCAGAGAAGAAGCTGCCCCACTAAGGCCCTTCATCCAACCTGGCAGTCACAAACCACAGATTATATGAAGTAGATGGGAAGATGCTCCCAGCAGAGGACCAAAAGTGATCCTAGCTTCTTAGTGAATCCTGGTTCACTGATCCACCAGAACTCACAAAAGCAGGAGGAAGATAATCCCCAAATATGTACATTAATATTGATATTCAACGAGTCAGTTAAATTTTACAATAGCAACGTTCTCCTGTAATTATAATACTTGCTTATTAAAGTAAGGCTGCAAACAGATATTGCCTTTGCACCAGCATAAAAAGTTTTTATAGCAGCACGAGACCTGAGCAAACAAGCAGCTTTGCCTCTTGTCATGCCACAAATACCCAAAAATGTGACTGCAACAATTGCTAGTAATGGTTCGTGCTGCCTTTTTGCAGTGGATGGATCTTCATTTATGGTGCGAGAGTTCAGGCAGCCCAGGGCTTCTCGCACTCTCCAGCTGCTCCAGGCAGGCACTCGGGGGCTTCAAGGGCCTGTGCCTATGGGACAGCAGCCTTGGGTGCCTGGCTTCGAGTAGCAGCACACGTCTGCAGGCATGAAGCAGGGAGGCATGCATCCACAAGCATGGAGTTAGTCCATGGGCTTCCCCACTTCATGAACGTAGATATGCACCCCTGGTCACACCAAGCACCCAGGCCCATCCTTCTACAGGATCAGGCAGCTGAAATCCCAGGAGCACCTGGCAACATCGGTCTCTGCCCATCTTTCAGACCAGCTCTGCGAGCACCACTGATCCCACCATAAAAATGATGTCTGCTTGTCACCTAAGAGCACTGCCATATCTGCTGCTCCCATCACCATAAGATCGGGCTACATCCTAGGCCACATGTGGCTAAGCATTGTGGTGCCTGTTTGGTACCTCTCCAACTACTATAGTCCACAGCCCCACAGCTAGGCACCATGAATGGGGAAAGTTACACTGAGCAGGGAACCATGTAAGCGAGCCAACAGGAAATGCAAAGCAAGGGGATGGGTCTTAAAACCCCTCTGCGACTAAGCAGGATTGATGAAGCAGGATCATCTCCCAGAGACTGGCATCTATTCCATTACAGAATGGAGGAGGACACAGCCTCACCGTTACCCAGGATAAAGAGCTCCCCTTCGTAAGAGGAATGCCCCAGGCACCAGGTGTAGGGCTCTTCATGGGTTCTTTTGAAGCTGTTCTACGTTCAACAAATGAGTGCCGTAGTCATGAAGCTCCTTCTACCTCCACGGCCCAATGAATACTTAATGATCCTGTGGCAGAAGGCCACCTTTGTTTCCCCCCAAAAACTCTGCTCTGTGACAATTTGATTAGGATGGGCCCAGCAGAGGAGACACACCTTTACCCTATCTCTTTAGGTAACCTGAGCTGGGTACATTCCTGAGGGAGGGGAGAAACCTGCTCCCTCTGCCTACCTGACTAGTATCGCACACCTGGGTGAGGGACTTCCCTCCTGGTGGGCTAGAGTCTGCCCGGCAACTAGTGATGTATTTCAAATTGGATGGCTGACAGCCAACAGGTGCTGGCCTCCATTGGACCAGGTAAATGAGGTCACAAGGGCTATATAAGTTAAGGACTGCCCACGAGGAGGGGGCAGCAGCCAGGAGGGTTACTCAGGAACAAAGAAGAGCTGGACCATCTGAAACTTGCTCTCTCTCTCTCAAAACTCATGATCAAGGAACCGCCTGCTTCCAGAGGGAATCTCCAACAGCCTCTGGATGACACTTGTAAATAAGCTAACTGAGATCCAACTAGATATATAGCTTGCAGTAACTCAGATGTGTGATCAAAGGCTACCCAGCCAGGGGAGTTTGCTCTATGCGATTTCTCTTGATATTGCTCTACCCTGTACCCTATTCTAACCCTACCCTGTGTAGGAGACTTAATGGGAGTGGGTCTAGATTATGCCTTGGGGTCCCCTTGGTTTGGCTGACTAAGGGAGACCACTACTTGTGCTTCTGACTGAGGGAAGCATCCCAACTTCTTGAAGGGACTCAAGTACCCTTAAGAGCTACTAGGCCTGTGTTTCCCAGGATGCACAGAGCCAGAATTAGTCCAGAGCCCCGGGTGGTGGCAGTGTTACCCCCAGGCTAGTGGGTGTGCTCCAGGAAGGGGGTCGGCCAGACGTGAGGCACCCCCAGGGAGGCACTCGGAGCCTGGAAGGTGGTGGAGCGCAGTGAGGTGGGTGGCTCAACACAGGAGCCCCCCCTACTGGCCCGCCACACATCCCGTGCAACGCCTAAAATGTTTCAACAAGAAAGACTGCTCCAGAAGAATCTGTAGCCTGGTGGCAGGGTGCTCTCCTTCAGGTACAAATCCCAAGCAGCAGAGGATGATTAAATGCTACATTAAGCCATTGGATAAAAGGGAACATTTCCTCTGGTCATTGTGTTTTGTATGGGGGACATCCCAGTAGATGTGCCCTTAGGTCAAGCCTCAAAGACAAAAGAAAGCTGGCTTGGTAAATCCTGATAGGGCTCAGGTCTGAGCTAAGTGCCCACCAGTTCAAGATTGTCAAAACTTGAGCCATGACTACCAAGTTTAGTGCAGGAGTGCATAGAAATAGCCAAGAGAGCTCTGGTACTTCACTGAAGTACCAGGAGCAGCGCTGTGTATACAGACAGAGGAGCCGAGTATGTGGGGGGCACCTCTCCGAGGACCCCAGCCCCCCTTGGGAAGAAGGCCATCACCTGAAATGTGTCAAACTTTCCACACATCCATCATCTTAGGCCACCCTGGCAAAAATAGCTGGCACCTACGTATACAGACATACCTTGTGGTGCTTCTGAGCTTGATTGAAGGCAACTTTAAGTAACTAAAGAACATTGGCACTGAAAATGTGTAACCCCATGGACATTAGGCACAGATGGGATCAGGTGGAAGGTTTTGAGTAACTACATTTTCAGATGGATTCATCTTCTAGCTCAGATGCTCAAGTCCTTTTGTGGACCTTGCTCATAATGTAAAATATCAAAACCATGTAGTACTTTTCCATTAGCCAGGCTGAAAATAAAATAGGATTAATATTCTTACTGTGTCAAATCCAGATTAACATGATAATAGTCGCTTCAAGGAAATTTATTAGCACTACAAACCAATATATAATAATCCTGGATAAGAAGAAAAAATGCTTGCTAAGGCACTGTATGGTTATTGCACACCAAGGTAACAAAAGGCTGTATTGCAGGAATCATAATATCAATGGTAGAAGCCACATGGCTCCATTATGTGGCATGGGAGAAGGGAGGGGTAAAGAACGGCTTTGTCCAGGTGCTGCTTTAAATATTTTGGAGATAATTATCAGAAGTAGTTCATAAAAGTGCTTCCAAAGTGTCAGTGTTCTTACACCCACTGTTCTTGGCACCTTTTGCTCCTGAATGCACAAGCTTGGCTCCATGAACTCCTAAATATTTTAAACAAGCTTAATCCTCCAAATAATAATGAAATGCACACTGCACTAGATGGGTGCATTTATCTGAGACTCACTTATTTACAAGCAACTAAAACATGAAATTAGCTAGTCCCACAAGGCAACTTAGTACCTCCCAGCCCTTCTGCTTTAATAAATCACACCAATCAAGAGGGTGCCACATTTATTTTCCGCATCTTCATATTTTGCATGAACAGTCATTTTCCATTTAATGCCAGTGATGATCCTCTGGAGACATCTCTGTGTGATCCTAGGATTGCCAGCTTCTGTGGGACTGAGTATATGCACGTTGGCAGGCTCTAGGAGCTTTGCAGGCTGTAATTCTGTGAATATTTCAAAAGCAGGCTGCCCTACTCAGCAATGCTTCTATTGTATGGGCATATAATATAAGTGATACCAGTAGGGTTGCCATGTCTTCACTTATTCCTTGATGTTAATAGTCCAACACTGCAAATAGACAGCAGAGATGGATCTGAAACACGAGCTCCTAGTGCTTATGCACACTATGCATAGGTATAGGTTACATCAATGACCAAACAGCTAGATAGATAGTAGGGCTGCGTGGAATTTCGCCGGTTGTTTTGATTCGACACTGCTTTGACTAATTTCGAGCTCGAAACGGTGAGATCGAATCAAAATGAAGGGCTTCAAAACAGCCTCAAAACAAAATGAGGCTAGTTGAAACATTTTGAAACGTTTCAAGTTTCAAAGCCAGCAGTGAGAGACTGGGGAGAACCAGGGCTTCGCTCCCAGCACCAACCAGGAGCGCAGCCCTGGATCTCCCCGTCTCCCACTGCCAGAAGCCGATAACAGCACAGGGGAAGGGAACTGAGTCTGGGCTCAGTTCCCCACCCCAGCACTGCAATCTGGCAGGGGGCACTGCGATCCAGCAGGGACAGGGCTGGAGAGTCAGCCCAACTGGGCTCACTCCCCTCAACCCCCCCGCACTGCGATCAGGTGCAGATGCAGAGAGTCAGCTCAACTGGGCTCACTCCACCCCGCACCTGATCTCAGTGCAGGGGGAAGTCAACTCAGCTGGGCTGACTTCCCACCCCCTGTGTGATCTAGCACTGGGGTGGGAAGTCAGCCTAGCTGCGCTGACTCCCCACCCCCAGCAAAACGTTGAAACAGCATCAAAACAGCCTTTCAGTTTTGAGGGAACAGAACAGCCTGTTTCGAATCGAAATGAAATTCCAAACAGAACGCTGTTCCTTTGAACCGTCAAAACTGAAGGCAAAATGGAACGGTGCCATTTTGCACAGCCCTAATAGATAGCTATCTATCCCAGAGACATTTCTGTGATGTTGTTCCTGGGCAAACTATCATTGCAAGATCTTGTGCTCTCAAAAATATATTTGGTCCTCAGAAGTATTTTTATTGGCCCCAGAGCTGTTACCATTGGCGAGGCAGTGCTAAGGAGACTGCCCCCAAGCCCTTCCTTCACTTTGGTGACAAAATCTTAACCGGGGACTCCCCAAGACTCCCCATCACCACATGACCGGTTTGTCCTTGACCTGGCATTCCCTCTTGGAGCACCAAGGTGTTCAGAGAGCAATCAATATTGATAGATGAGATGCCTCTGATACAATGGGACTCAGAATTATTGATGGCCTTTCTTTCTAATGCCAGCATTGCTTCCAGAAGTGGCACCGCTGTGTCAGGCAGCACTGATTAGCAAATGACGCGACCCTATAAACCTTAGAAAGGGAACTACAGGGACAATGAGCGGGTAATGAATCCAGTGATGAGAGCTCGGAACTGGAAACCAGAAACCTCCAAGTTGCAAAAGCACCTTCAATACAGATTCCCCGCATGACCATGAGTCCCTCCATCTGCAAACCAGGCCTCACAGTGGCCCTGTGAGGCCTTAAAGATTTTTTTTATTTTTTTTTATGCAAAATACTCTGAGGATGATAATCAACATATGCCTTGTGTGCTAAGAACTTTTCTTTTCTGACATGATGCTTACCATCTTTTCATATTACTTCTCTATTTTACCACTTGCCTAGAGACCTTGGTGTATTTCTGGAGACATCTGCACCTGCCCTCATATACCTCATTAGCCCCAGTCAGCTGCCATCCCCACCTCAGTCCCAGAACTACAATTTGTCTTGATTCACAGGCAATGAAAAATGATTAGTTAATTGATTTAAAACAACTTGAAGAATACAACATGATGCTCTATAATGAAATCAGTCATGGGGAAATCGAGAAGGATCTGTTTCCTCAAATGCTGTGGGAAAAAAGGGTAAATGGGTTTTAGTACATTTATTTCCCTCTTTAAGGTGCTAAGATTTAGTAAGAACAGCAGAATCCCATGGAAATATATTGGGTGACAAGTTAGAAAAGCTCAAAGTAACAATTCAAACGTTTTATCAGTAGTTTTTGTTTTCCAAACCAAGACCCTGCATAGTTTTCACTAAACAACGAAAATGTGCAAACCGGTTCCTTTTGTCCAATGGTATTCACTATGCCAGGCAGTATTCAACACACCTGCCTTTGGTACTAGCCCCCAAACTATGTTTTATCTCAAACAACAACTCGTCCAGAAAGGATATACGAAAGGAGTGAGAAGTATTGTAGTAAGAAACTAGGAAACCACTAGCAGTGCGGATAGCAAAGCCAACACTGCCTAGTATGGGAATGGCCACCAGCATGGAAATGCACCCAAATGGTCCCACGAATACTAGAGAAGCACACAATACTAGGTTTTAATGGCTGGCTTGTTGGAAGGATCACATAGCATCTTCTTTCTAGAGGTGTCCTGCTCGCAGTTAGTGCCGCACATCCTTTCCTCCCGAACCCATAGTTCCTAACTGTAGGTGTCCAACCAATTCCTGAGCAAACATGTTGTGATGCTGCTTCTTCCATGTTTCCTGGGTGAGTACATGACCCCCAACATGTATATAACATATACATACACACACACATGCGCGCGTGCGTTGAGGGTGATATACACACCCAGGAAATATGGAAGAAGCATATGTATATTATATGTGTATATATATACACATACACACACACACACACTATTGAGAGACTGCACTGAGAATGGAATATGCCCAGCAGCAAGTCTTTCATCACTTGCCCGAAATTACACAGTTGGTCTGCGGCATGGCAGAAAACAGAACTCCATTTTCAAGTTTCAGGGCTGTGTTTTAACCTTAAGACCATCCTTCCTCTCCTAGCTTCTTCCCCTGAAGACTTGAGTCACTTCACTGGGTTCTTTTCAGGTCAAGTACTTTCCACTCGTGTTAACCTTGATTCCTCTCTTTAAACAAAAGCCAGGATCAACGAGTACCTTATTGTGGAGTCAGTCCTTGAGAGTCACCTCCCTGACCGCATTATGTCCAGTAGAACTCCTAGAAAAACAGGTCACAAAGCATTTGTCTGGCTGTACACACACACACAGTAGGAAGTAAGAAATGCTTTTAGCAACAGTTAACATTTTCAAGACAATATGTCAGCCAATGCCAACCTTTGATAAGAAGGTTGGAAGAAAGGTTACGTGAAGTTAACCTAAATAGCTTAAAGAAAGAGAAAGAAGTGTTGTAGGTAATTAATACTTGAAAGGAAATAATGAAAAGGAAAGAAAAGACTTATTTGAGGTTGGCCCAGTGCAATGTACTACAAGAGGTAATGGCTTTAAATTAAAGAAGGGCAAGCTTAGATTAGATAACAGGGGAGGGGAAAAAAACTTCCTAACAGTAATTTAGCAGTTTAACAGCGTGAGGAGAGCAATTGCAGAGGCATTATCAATGGAAAGGTTCCAAAAGATATTGGAAAGTACTTTCAAATGGCAAGTACATGGGATAAACTATGCTAGATGCTGGGGATTTAATGGCCCATAATGACCATCCCAGACCCAAAGTTTATGATCCTATGACTTAGACAGCCAGGCTTGTCACCGCTACCTCCATGTGGTTTAGTAGTTATCATTTCCTCACACATGCGCATAGCTTTGTGACACAGATAGTGGATTGTAGAGTCACAGAATAGCTCTTTGAGGGACTGTGGGCTCAGTCCTCCTCTCACTTATACACCATGAATAAACCTCATAAACTTAATTCCCTGTACAGTAAATTTCTGAAGAGGCGAGGGCCACACTTCAAAAGTCTAAGAAGTTGTAAAGGTCTTTTTGCAGCTGTTGACTTGACTGTGAAGCCTTTTTTTGACCACAGGTCATAAACGTCTCAAAATGGGAATGACTAGACCTTCCAACAACGCAGCATCAACTACTATTTTTACGAGTATATTTGCCACAATCTTTATAATTCTGAGAGACTGAGGCATTATTTCCTTCCTCAGTTATATTTTTTTCTGCTAAGCCGACAGGATCATCTATCAACCTATTCATTGTTTGCAAGGGCAGTGGTTGAACTGAATTTCAAAAAGGTTTGATGCCTCATAACTCCGGGCAGAGAGAAGAAAATACAAAATGGGGCACAATCTGAAGGGGGAAATGGCAAATCTGATCTATTATGCCCACCACATCAGGATTTGCAGTAGTGTTTAAGTCTGATTAGGACCATATCTCCAATAGGTTTTCACAGAATCATTTGTTCTTCATAAGCATTTCACTTCCCACGCCCAGAAACCCTACAAAAAATTGTCTCAGAGAAGTAACGGGTCTTCAACATCCCCAACTGTGAAGTGGTGACTGCCTTAAAGAAAGGTTATGTTCATACTCAGTGGATTTGCGTACAACAGTGATGCTCAACCAGGGTGCTGTGGACTGCCATGAAGTATTAGCACTGTTAGGTGTGCAAACATCATCTACAAGATAAACCCAAAGATTTCAAATAGGAATTCATAGGGTTAAAAGCATTCTGACCTATTGTGGTTGGAGTTCTTGGCAACAAAGAATTGCTCTATTATTTTTCTGTAGTCAAAAATCAAGTGAAAACTAAGAGCTGACATTGTCCTTGAATCTAGAGAGGGGTACCTTGAATCTACAAAGGTTGAAAACCATCGGCACAGAAGACAAGTCAATGCAAAATCTGGTTCAGAGTGGGTTTATCCCAGGTCCTCAAACATACTAAGGCATCTAATTGCTATGGATGTATTTGCAGGCTGGGTCTTAGCATATTAGAGAAGGGATCATGGGAGTTAGGACTTCCGGATGCCATTCCCATCTTTACCACTAAGTAACTTGTACAGAGTCACGCAGAGAGTTATTGAATGTTTGTAAAAATGGGGTTTATAATAATATTTACTTCTCAGTGGGCACGTCTACACGAGACGCTGACTGCATGTAGCTGATTAATACTGTGCAGTGGCACGTCACAGCACCAAGAGTGCTAATAGTACCATAGCAAGGAAGTTTGATGCCCAGGGCAAGACTGAAAAACACTGCCCCGAACTTTAATCATTATAAAAATAATAATTTTAATTGTGTGCCAATATAAGGAAAATATTACATTTATTACCATATATACAAAAATTACAATTCAAAAACATAATTTCTGGGCTGGTTTGGGAGGCCATGTCTTTGTGGGGAGCAGGAGGTGGGTTATACCGCCACTACGTTGGGCTCTACTAGGCCATGAGTGGACCATACCAATGCCAGTTGCAGGGGTGGGGAGCATGGGCTTTACCAATGTGGGTGCATGACCCTACCAATGTGGAGGAGGGAGGGAGGGAGCGCCACACAAGTGCTGCTGGGAAGCGAGCAGATTGTACCAATGGCAAGGGTTGGGGCAGCAGGCTGTACCAAGCCAGATGCCGGGGGGGGGGGCAACGGGGGGTGGGGGGGGGGGGGGGGGGGGCAAAACCCTCCGGGCACCCCTGAGTACGGGGCAGGGGAGAGGCATAGCAGCTTATGAGGAGCCCTTGGCACAGGGGGAGGGGCGAGTGTCCCACACAGTGTGCGCCATGGGTGGCTTCCCCCACTGCCGCCACCTCTCCTGCCCTGCCTCCCCCTCCCGCCAGGGCCTGTGGGAGCTGCTGGGCCACTCACTCCCAGCTTGCTAGCATGATATCAACTCGCACCTTGCCTGTTGGCATCCCTTCGCTTCGGCACCTGGGGCAGTCACACCACTCACCCCTCCCTTGCTATGGTACCAAGTGCCAATATGCTACTGCGCAGTATCATTAGGCTACTGTGCAGCAGCGTCACTTAAAAGGCTTTTACCGGCATTTTAGTACTTGCTTATACAAGTACTAAATAAATGCAGTAACCACCGTCTCGTGTAGACGCACCCAATAGGGTCATAAGCATAAATTAACAGACTTTGGTGGCTTGAGACAGAATTGGGAGGTCTATACTGCAGAATGCAGCACAGTGTAAAGATGCCCAGGCTGTCTTAGGTACTGGAAGTAGTCCAGCTGTGGCAACATAGAGCATCACAGGGGCTTTCTCTTGCCACCTCTCCGAAATGGTACATCTCATTTACTTTGTCACATGAGACATCTTTTTGCTGTTAGCCAGGCACAAAAACCAGGACTCCCAATGCCCACAAGTCCTCCGCTGCCTAGCGAGTAGCGGTATGGTACCATGCAAGCAAAATATGTTCTGTCCTCATGTTGTGGTTCTTGGTGTGGAACGGGAGACGGTGAGGGGGCATTATTTTATGCGATAGCCTCAAGAGTGGCAAGAAGGTAGTGTGGACGTGCCCCGAGTTTCCATTATATTTCTTACGTGAAGGAATAACATGTTCATAAAACTAATCACTCACACCAATCTTCCAGGATATTAACTGACTTTCTGTTAATGATCTTTTTGTTATTTATTCATGCTTTTTCCAGGACTGATCCCAGATGCTAAATGCCTCAGAGCACACTAATTCCAAGGAACATTCAATAAAACATTGAATAATTGCATTTCAATCTGATTACTGCTCTGTCCCACAACAAAACCAACACACTGCTCCTCAGCAAACCCACTGGGACCATCAGCCCCCAATATATCAACCTAACTCTGCCATTAAAACACATAAACAATGATGTCATGCATGCTTTTTCAAGGCCCGGCTCAATTCCCACTGAAGTCAAAAAGATTTTTTTCCTCTTGACAGTGTTGGGAGCTGGAACAGACCCTTCCCGTCTAGCATGAATGTGGGAGTGGCAAAATCTGCCTTGCTACTTTGCCCGATCCTGCAATACAGTGTGTTGGGAAGGGAGGGAAGTGTCCTGGCACCTGCAATAAGTCCCAATGACTTCCACCAGAGTCCCAGTGGGTGTTGAGCGTCCGTGTGCCAGAGTGCATCATCGGGGCCTTGCAATATAATAATCACAAATAGAGGAAAGCACAGCAACACCCTTCACTTTAGAGGGAATTAAATGTGAATGTACACACACAGCATTACATTTTGCCCTCACAACTACACAAGACTTTGCTAACTTTACCAATTGTGGCTCCCAGGTGTCTGGGGAGCAGACTTGCTCCCAGGCTTTTGAACCATTCAGGAATCCTAACACATTCTTTCCAGATTGGGTTTTTACAAGGCTTTTATTAATACTACACATTTCTTGGGTGACTAAAAATCACTCGGTCCCTAGCCTGCTCTTACAATACACAGGAGTATATTATTAATGGCCCAGTAAAACAATATACAGCCTGTTGTATCTTAATTCAATAGTCAGTAATGACCAACTTACAAAAATCATTTCAGACCTATGGGTTTTCTAAGACCTTTTGAAGGTAATGGCAGTAAAATATGCATATATTAATGTTAGTGGTGGAAGGCAGAATATAGTGGCAGTATAAGCAATAATACAGTACTGTATAATAAAAATTGAAAACTATTTTCCCTAAGTGTAAATATAAAATACCTCTGGGGGACATATCTAAAGGAAGAGTGTTTCTCTAACACATAGTTAAACTCCAAATTATATTTTTCAAAGCTATCCAACTATAGTCTAATAAATAACCCATAAAATAAAACAACATTTTACAAGGAAGACTCGTACTGTATTTCAAGCTTTTTGCCATTCTTAAAATCATTATTTAACACGGACAGTTTTAGTCACAAAATTTCAAGAGTTTATTCAATATCTTTTATGCACTTTACAAGGTTATTAGAGAATTTATTTTCTCTTTCCCTTACAGATTGGAAGGTGGGCAGTGATATATGAGCTTTCACATTTTATTTATTCACCAAACTGTTCCAGATGTGATCCCATCATTTATCCACTGACACATCAAACCTGCTGCGTGACCTTTACAGTGACCTCTTTACAACATTTGCTTTCATGCTCTTAAAGTTATAGCAGCTTAGCAGGGTTTGCTTCGGTGGGAAGACAAGAGAACTGATTTTTTTTTTGGTTCTATAGTTTAAAAAGAATAAAAAATTAATTCCTTTCCTACAATATGAAAGCTAAGTCCAGGTGGTAAACTAACCAGTGGAGTTCAGTTCCCAGA